CGTTTTTGAAAACACATAAAAAAATTGTTTGGTGATAAACTGAACATCCTGTATAAAGGTAATATGTATAGTAATACAATATGATATAATGTAATGCAGTTTATACCTTCAACGTGTTTTCCGCGGCCGTTGTATTCGTTGTTGCGCCAATGACCTCGGTATACGGCACCGTCGTTCCACCGCATGGTCCCGTAACCGCATTTCATTCTGTTACCGACCGTCGAAAAGCTACCATCGTAAATGCCGTCCTCTTCATACAATTTTCCTTTAGCCTTTATATAAAGACGACAATAAACACTGTACATTATAGTATTATAAAAGTCCATTCTCGCATAAAACTAGCAATCGCAACTTTTTGTGCGCACGAATACCGAAACTTCTTGTCTGTCGATTAAAATGCCTATAATATTATCGTCATCGTGTTTATTGTATATAACACGTAAATTAAATGAAAGGTATAAATAATTTGCCAAGCACTCGAAATTTTGTTGTGTCTAATGTAACGATAAAATCGGAAGGTTCACAACATCTCGAAATGTACCTATTTGTCATTCAGCCCTCTCCCCTCGAAAAACATAACGTACAATACAAATAAATACGAGTAATTTATAAACCATTTATAACTATTGTATGACAAGTAATCAAGTATTTATTAAAATATTTAATTTTAATTTTTTGATTAACTTTAGTTTTTACTAACCTATAGATTTTTTCGTTAAAATCATATTCTAATCATACTTCAAATCTAAATTTTAGACWAATTACGTACTGAACAGGTATTGACTGCATATTAATATAGATAACACTATATTTATTTCAAAGAATGTCTATCCTTAGAGATATATTTTTTTAAACCATGTACACTGGTCGTACCTATGTTATTTGCGAAAACATGGTTGTTTCAGTGCCTTAGCTAATCGGAAAACTGTTYTATTCGCTATACAGCAATATGTATTTTGTTCAGGTTATTATAATACAATATTACATTAGATACCTATACATTTAATAATATTACTTACAAATCGATCATTGATCCATTGTCCTTCGTAAATGTACACAAAATGGTCATCAACTTTTTTCATCAGCACGCCAAAACCATGTCTTTTGTTCGCGATCCAATCACCCTCATAAACTGTTTTGTTCTTGTAAGACTTTTTTCCTTTTCCTGAGTATTAAAAATCACATCATACAGATTATTAAACAATAKAAGATGGYACAGGAGAAATAWTAAAATAGATTAAGTGGGTGATTGTATGCAGTAAGTTTTGTAACAATGAATTACGCACAGTGTAACTTCGAYGWAATAGGTAGCTACCTAATATATTTTATTTTTGTAAAATATGATTTAAAAAACAMTATTTTACGAAAAAATTAATTGTTCTAATGTTTTTTATCCCTACAATGAATGAATCGAAAAACCGATGTTAACATATTGATATTCTAATATATTTGTAATGAAACRAAAGCAGAACGAAAATTTTCTATATTGTATTATTACTGATCACTATCGAGTGGTACAACAACACAGGCATCAAACGTGTACACGTCTTGGCTAGCAACAAGTTTGCAGTGTCTGTTCGTATCTTATGTAAGATCCAGATAGTTATTGTCCTTCGACCTTTACCACTGGTAATGTTTTCATCGAACGGATATTATAAATAATTTTAAAGTACAGTAATTTCAGTTAAAGATCACCGTGGTGAAAACGATTATTACAGAGATAACTCATAAAAATGTAGTAAAAACAAACTGAAAATAAAGTATACACGCGTAGATATGGTCAGCYGGTCAAGGTGTCATCTCTTTTAACATCCATCGCTTCTATTTTTCAAATATACTACAAATAATACGTTATATCAGCTAATGCCATACTTTTTTTTTTAGTGATTAGGGTCATACATCGATTTGCCTAAATGCATAGAATATAATTGTGTACCTAACCTATTTTTMAATAATAATAATATTGACTTACACCCGTTGCACTATTCGTTATAAACGTAAAAGTCAGTTATGTGTACGAACTACATACATCGACACAAAGTGTTAAAGGTTTCCTCATTGTTATCGTGTTCACTGTAAATTATTATTGTGTGTAGCATACTGCGTGCAACTACTACATTATACAAATAATACTCAAATGCTCCATCCGTCACTACTTTTGTTTCCGTGGTTACCAGCATCACAGTTGATTTTATTAAAAAATATTATATAATATATTATATATAATAATATAATTATAAGAATGGCGATACTTTATTGATGATTGGCTTCTATTTTATGTAATTATTCATGGATACATTTCATATTTTTTTATTTTATGTTATTTTATCGACATTAAAATACACTTCAATCTCAATATTTTATATTTAATCAGTACTCTACATTTTACCACTACTATTATTTTATTATTACTGTCATTAAAACAGCATGTTGTTTTCGTTTA